TGAAGAATTTCTCAACTGCATTTTACCACTAGCTTATCTCTCCCTAGTTTAGAACTAGAATCAGACATCCAAGTGATCAAAATTATTAGGGTTTTTTTTTTTCTCTAAATAATTTGATATTCTACAGACGAGGGCCAGTCTACCTGATCAGTAGAAATGGAGATTTTACTCCAGGTCTCTGTGACCAACAGAAACTGCTTTCTGATAATTATATTTTCATGTTAACCACCATTTCTTGCAGCTATATTGAAAATTAGTCTATAAAACCAACCGAAACAATAAATCAAAATGCTGAAAGCCTGGAGAGATGGTTAAGATGCAAGAGGGGAAAAATAAAGATATTAATGTAAAGTTTTAAGTATGTACTGTCATTTTCTGAATACTTACATGAAGAAGGTGATTCAATTTAATGTCAAAAGCAACTTGCAAAGTTAAAACATCAACTGTACAAGAATCAATATACATTCCTTGTTTTTATCTGTGTTAGATAGAATCCCTTCCCTTTGCAAGTAAAATGCAGCATGCAGCTAAAATGTCATTCCTAATACAACATAACCTGTTATACTCCTGTTTTTCTCCGACCAAAACGTCGTTCCGTTAATACGTCACTTTAACAAATAAGACCAAAACATTAATAAAGTGCAACAGGCTCGACCACGCGCGTTAGTTTATTACACAATAACTCACCTTCACCAACTACAAAACCACACATCACAAATAACCATTTCTCAAATATCCACCCCGCTGCCTCCTTTTCAAAAAATCAAATTATACTTCATCTTTATATAATATCTTTAAATTTTCCAAAAACCAGAAACTAATTACAGTGTACTGGTATACCAGTGTGTGTACCGTGTACGTGGTCTCGCTGAATGACCACCCGCACGAGCTCCACAGGTATATACACCCGAAACACTGTTCACCCCGTGACGTCACTCCGGTATCGGAGAAAACAATTTCATCCTAATTCATTCCATTCAAACTAATAAAATTACATAAATATAAATCTATAGTATTCTTTTACAGCACATGGCAAACCACATTGAAGTGATGGTCACTATCATTGACAAAAATACTGTGTTAAAAGCTGTCAAAGTTACTTCTGTATTTTCAAAGAATACTTTATCTTGTTTCTCAATACTTCTGAAAGCCCACAAAACAGAAAGTACTTCACTATTGTGTTGATCCAATTTGTTCTCAGTTTTGTAGCAAAATGAAATTATTTTGACATGACCAGGAAGTTCTCTCTTTTCTTCAAGTATCGAAACAAAAATTATCTCTTTCTTTATCAATACTTTGTGAGCAAAACTTAATTTGAAGGTTGGGATATGTTGAAAAGGAACTATAATACTGGATTACTGGGGTACTTCCCTGAAGTTATCTTTCCTTGGAATTAATAGATATTAAAGATTGTATACATTATCTAGCTTGGAAATATTTGTGTATGACGGCATGCAGTAACATAAAAGACATAAAGTGGGTTCTCAGAATGTTGGCGGGTCCCATTGGACAAGGCCAGGACTCAAATTTCTCTTATTCTGGACAGGTATATATCTATACGCACACTTTTCCTGGTGTGAGATATCTTGTTTCACAGGGGGATTCCCCTATTCACCTAATAGCAGTTAGTAGTGCTGGGAATCGGTCAAATATTCAAGATCGATAATCGAAACTCAATAATCGAATGATAATCGATATTCGGTTTAAATTACCTACTCATATAACATAAGAGACCGGCCGATTTATTATCTGATGTAATTGTGCCGACTGATGAGAAAATACTCGTTTCCGAAATCTATAGGCGGAAGGAAGGAATCAATTATATCTCTGTTTTGACTCAAAACTTGATGACAACTAGGTGTACTCACAGTTTAGGTATTAATTACCCCCATTTGAACGCTCCAAACACTATAACATAGCATATTAAGAATAATTTATCACGAAAAACACTCTGCTAGCTTCATTTTACTACCTTTCAAATATGGCGGTTTCGGTTGATACAAAATGGTGATGTATGTATTATACGAAACGAATACAAGTGACGCAACGAAAAGCATTTCCGCTTTTTTACTATATACAATTCCATTTTCATATTAACCACCAAATGTATAATGTCGGTGCAGATGTTGCGACTGCTTCAAGTTAGAAAAGGATTACAATACAATTGAACATAATCGATCTTGCATCAGCAAAATCGATTATTGGATCGGACCCTTTTCAAACTCGATTTAATCGATGTTTCCGATTTTCGGTACACCACTAGCAGTTAGAACCATATAGTCTATTCTATAATGAAACTGATGTCATACAAATTAAATTAAATATTACAATTCCTAAAAAAACACCAAAGTATGCTTTGCTGGTGAGAGAGTTATCGAGTTTGAGTGTCAATTATGTAAATTCTGATAGTAAACCATTTAATATGGACTAAATGTGAATATCAGCTATGTTTACCACATGTCTGTTCTCACGATCACATATAGGAAGATTGGTATCTATCGATCAGCCAAAAAGTACAATGTCTCTAATCTTAATACATTTAAAATCTATTAAAAATTGTGCAAACAAAAAATTGGAATGTGCAAATGGTTTTTAATTTTCACTATGACCAGTCACTTTTATTTTATTTCCATGTCATTCTACTCTTTCACTGTCATAATTTCTAAGCCTTTTAAGGTACAAGGAAAGAAAAAAAAAAACACAGTAAATGTGAAAGTAATATCAGCTGAATGAAATGTCTTGCATCAGCTCATACAATACACCAACTCAGGTGATATCATTATTAAGAAATGTATTTTTAATGTATTACAAAAGCAGTGATGTGTATCCTTAGACTTAACAGTAACATTATAATTCAATATATACTCTTAACCTCACTGCTAACACGGACACACAAACTGTTCCAGATATTAAACTTTTGAGATGCTCGCCCTATTCAGGTGCAGTATACCATTAATTTCCAAAAGTTGGAAAAATAGTCAACCCCCAGCTCAATTTTTCAGCAATAGGGTTTGTGTTTTCTCTACATTTTTAAATTAAATTTTCGATATGTTTTGAAAGGCAGGGCATTTTTATTTAATCAACAAAAAGGACAGGGCATCACTCACATATTCAAAATTGAAGGCAGGTGTGGCTTTGCACTATTTCTAGCTAGAAGGAAAAGTTTGCTCCAACCTTTGCATATATATATATATATGAAAGATACACATGTACTATAGGGAACACTTATATGGTATGCCTGTTTCTCTTACCCTGGAAAGATGTATCTGCACTTTTACTGGTGTGAGATTTCCTTGTTCCTAAGGTTGAGACGGAGAGATTCCCCTATTCATAACAATGGTATGACGTCAAACAATATAATGTCGTCACGTCAACCCTGAATCTAGCCTGTGACGTTAACATTACATTTTGTATATGATACACAATGGTGAACAAGGTAAGAGAAAAAGAATCATTCCCCCCCAAGGGGGTAAGAGATTCTATTAATCCCACATAGGTGCACTCTGTGACCTTTACTTTAATGATGTCACAATCAGATGATGATGTTATGACGTTACAATTGAATGTCCATCAAAACCTTGACTTACTGTGACAATTTTAATTGCTGTCGGAAAGTGACACCACCTCAGGAACCTCAGTTTTGCCAAAATGCCAAAACTCTGACCCAAATCCATGACCAACAACCTACATATGATAGACTCAATTACTTCAATCATTCAGAACTCCTTGGTCCAATTCATAGATCAGGACAAAGAAATTGGTGTTCTGAGGGTTCATGACAGAGTTGGTTCCAAATAATGAACCTGTCCTCTGTATTCTTTTTATTTATTCTTCACATTTTCATGTTTTCTTCACATTTTCCTAATGCAAGTATTTATTTAGTAGAGCTATCAGGTTTTTTTTTAACAAATTTTTCACAATGATATGGACTACTACACATAAAGTCAACCTGTCCTTGAAAAAATGCGTTTACCCATATTGTTCCAGTCTACAGAGTTATTGAAGTTGGTATGCAGGGTAGTTATATTGCTGAGTGCTTTTAACCCCCCCCCCCCCCCCCCCCTGCCCTTCTCGCACAATCTTCAAATATTGATAATAAACCTGAGATAAATTGCATCACTGCCATAAATCAGTAGCAATTCATTCTAAAGGGATTCTAGTATAGCAAAATCTGCTGAGGAAATCACGCAGTTAATTTATTCTCTAATAGGACATAACTAATTTAATGCATGTATAAATATAAATCATACTAAAATTTTCATGCAGATATTGTCTGTTAAATATCATAAATGTAAAGTATTTATAAAAAAGAGTTTAAATGCCTAAGCTCTATAAAGACCAACCATCAGTTTGATAATTGAGACCTACCGATCTATGTAAATGTACAACACATGTTTTAGATAGACGTTTATGTGTGCTAGACCATGTTTTAACATGGCAGGATAATCCCATAGATGTCAGTGTGTAGAGGTGGTGTTACACATGTAATGTGGCTTACTGGTCACTACAGCTGGCTGCAGCTACCTTGGAATAGTTCAGACATGCATGCATGTTTACTGTCCAATGTGATGAGGAACAGGGGTGTGTATTGGCCCCTATTTAGCCACACATATGTGCTGGATGTGTTTACTGTGTTTACATACAAGACTGTAGACACTATACCAGGTCAGCGTTATATAGATCGATCTCACTAGCCTCGTACAAAGCTCTGCTCCTCACATCTTCCCCGTGTAAATTGCTAACGACGGTCGTCAAATCACTGCATTTATCTCCAATAAACGACCCGCTGTAAGCCGTTCCTATATGCATCATTTACAGTGAATACGATAATACAGACTCTGCATTCTGTAGGTATAGCGGTCTGACAGGTCCCGTCAATGTTTATATATAAGCATGGTTTTGTAAGACTTCCGTCAAAAACACAACCGGGGTCACACGAAGTAGGGATGTCTATAGTGCTTAAAAGCAGGAATTAATCGACTTATGGGCTAAAATCTTACCTCATCCCATCTGATGAATTTGTTGCCCTTGATAAGCGATTCCGGTACGCAGATAGGCCTTAACTGTACAGCATGAACGCCAGGTTTAGCTCCCGCCATACTCGCACTACAGTCGCCTTATTATTATCATACCCAAATGCATCGTATATTGAAAGACGATACCATATTGCCCGCGGGTTACAGAGGTGCGCTAACGAGACTGTCAGTGAACTCGACCGAGTCGTACGGTCAGTAAAACAATAGCTTCGTTAGTAGTGTCCACTACAGAATAGAACAGACACAGAACAGTTCGCTAGTCCAGTGTTTACACGGAACAGTCTGAAAACATATGAGTCATGGAAGCAGGCGACGGGGTAGACTCGCCCATATTAAAGGTAGTCGATCATGTGATCAGGACAAAATGGCGAGCTGCATATTGGCGAATTTAATACGGCAGCGCATGCTGAATATGTACATATCATCAATGACATTTCATTGGATATAGTGCATATTTGATAGCGATTAAATTACTGTCGGTATGTAGCGAACAGGGCGTGCTAACGACATGTACATAGTACGTACACTATAATTTATATATATAATCTTGCCCAAACAAAGACAATAGCATATTTCACATTTGTGTTATTGGAAAACTTTATCATACGTAGCATAATAACGTTTTTCCTCTTAAATTAATTAATTCCATAACTTGCTGTTGCGAATTTGATAATGGCCTTCACATTTAATTGACTGTAAACAAACAAGTATATGTTTCATTATACTTTTTATATACAATTTTAGAACCCTGTAAAACAATGTTGTACAAGTATTGTTTTAATATCATAATCTTACATTCTAACACTATTATAATTTCCATATGAAATGACATAAATGTACACCCCCCTTTATTTAATAAAATCATATTATTTAATTGTATTTGAAATATCCATATGGATTTTGTAGAGGATACTAATCTGTATGATAAACTTTATTTTTACACAAGTCCTAATTGTAAATTGGATTTCTGATAACTAACAATTATTTGCTGACATTTTTTTTCATTTTTCTTTTCATTTCTGAGGCGGTTTTAAAAAAACAACACTATATGTAGTTGTATATAACCCCTCATGCTCCTGTGGTGTAAAGAAACGTGGACATACATCCAGCTACACTTCACTTTCGTTGTCATGTTTTATGTCACAGTCATGCATCATAAACCCTGTATAACACAGATTTATTCTAATATATTGACTGAAAAAAACCACAATCTGATTAAGTACACATTAAAAATGTTTAATTACTAACGAATCCATGTCTTTTTAGTGAGTAACAGTCTGGACACATGAAAAATCTCATGTATGATTAACTGATCAATTCCACAATATCACATGGAGATGATCATAGGTCAATACTTAGTTACATTTCTGCAGTTATGGTCAGTTAGTTCTCTAGTAGGAGATCTTAAAGTATGATCAGTTAGTTCTCAAGTAGGAGATCTTAAGGTATGGTCAGTTAGTTCTCTAGTAGGAGATCTTAAGGTATGGTCAGTTAGTTCTCTAGTAGGAGATCTTAAGGTATGGTCCGTTTGTTCTCTAGTAGGTGATCTTAAAGTATGATCAGTTTGTTCTCTAGTATGAGATCTTAAAGTATGGTCAGTTAGTTCTCTAGTAGGAGATCTTAAAGTATGATCAGTTAGTTCTCTAGTAGGATGTCTTAAGGTATGGTCAGTTAGTTCTCTAGTAGGAGATCTTAAGGTATGATCCGATAGTTCTGGAGTTGGAGATCTTAAGGTATGGTCAGTCAGTTCTTTAGTAGGAGATCTTAAGGTATGGTCAGTTAGTTCTCTAGTAGGAGATCTTAAGGCATGGTCTGTTAGTTATCTAGTAGGAGATCTTAAGGTATGGTCAGTCAGTTCTCTAGTAGGAGATCTTAAGGTATGATCCGATAGTTCTCGAGTTGGGAGATCTTAAGGTATGGTCAGTAAGTTCTCTAGTAGGAGATCTTAAGGTTAAACAGTTAGTTCTCTAGTAGGAGAGCTTAAGGTATGATCCGATAGTTCTCTAGTAGGAGATCTTAAGGTATGGTCAGATAGTTCTCTAGTAGGAGATCTTAAGGTATGATCAGTTAGTTCTTTAGTAGGAGATCTTAAGGTATGGTCAGTTAGTTCTCTAGTAGGAGATCTTAAGGCATGGTCTGTTAGTTATCTAGTAGGAGATCTTAAGGTATGGTCAGTCAGTTCTCTAGTAGGAGATCTTAAGGTATGATCCGATAGTTCTCGAGTTGGGAGATCTTAAGGTATGGTCAGTAAGTTCTCTAGTAGGAGATCTTAAGGTTAAACAGTTAGTTCTCTAGTAGGAGAGCTTAAGGTATGATCCGATAGTTCTCTAGTAGGAGATCTTAAGATATGGTCAGTTAGTTGTCTAGTTCGGTATCTTAAGGTATGGTCAGTTGGTTCACTAATAGAACGTCTGTAGTTGTGGTCAGTTGGTTCACTAATAGGACGTATGTAGTTATGGTCAGTTGGTTCACCAATAGGACGTCTGTAGTTATGGTCAGTTGGATCACTAAGAGGACGTCTGTAGTTATGGTCAGATGGTTCGCTAATAGGACGTCTGTAGTTTTGGTCAGTTGGTTCACTTATAGGACGTCTGTAGTTGTGGTCAGATGGTTCACTAATAGGACGTCTGTAGCTTAAAGTATGATCAGTTAGTTCTCTAGTAGGATGTCTTAAGGTATGGTCAGTTAGTTCTCTAGTAGGATATCTTAAGGTATGATCCGATAGTTCTCTAGTAGGAGATCTTAAGGTATGGTCAGTTAGTTCTCTAGTAGGATATCTTAAGGTATGATCCGATAGTTCTCTAGTAGGAGATCATAAGGTATGGTCAGTTAGTTCCCTAGTAGGAGATCTTAAGATAAGGTCATTTAGTTGTCTAGTTCGGTATCTTAAGGTATGGTCAGTTGGTTCACTAATAGACCGTCTGTAGTTGTGGTCAGTTGGTTCATTTATAGGACGTCTGTAGTTATGGTCAGATGGTTCACTAATAGGACGTCTGTAGCTTAAAGTATGATCAGTTAGTTCTCTAGTAGGATGTCTTAAGGTATGGTCAGTTAGTTCTCTAGTAGGATATCTTAAGGTATGATCCGATAGTTCTCTAGTAGGAGATCATAAGGTATGGTCAGTTAGTTCCCTAGTAGGAGATCTTAAGATATGGTCAGTTAGCTGTCTAGTTCGGTATCTTAAGGTATAGTCAGTTGGTTCACTAATAGAACGTCTGTAGTTGTGGTCAGTTGTATAACGGGTTCCTCGGTATACCTATAATGATGGACCTTATAGTCCCAGACTAGTCAATATTGGTCAGTTAGTTCTCTAGTAGGAGATCTTAAGATATGGTCAGTTAGCTGTCTAGTTCGGTATCTTAAGGTATGGTCAGTTGATTCACTAATAGAACGTCTGTAGTTGTGGTCAGTTGGTGAACTAGTAGGACGTCTGTAGTTATGGTCAGATGGTTCACTAAGAGGACGTCTGTAGTTATGGTCAGATGGTTCACTAAGAGGACGTCTGTAGTTATGGTCAGTAGGTTCACTAATAGGACGTCTGTAGTTTTGGTCAGTTGGTTCACTTATAGGACGTCTGTAGTTATGGTCAGTAGGTTCACTAATAGGACGTCTGTAGTTATGGTCAGATGGTTCACTAATAGGACGTCTGTAGCTTAAAGTATGATCAGTTAGTTCTCTAGTAGGATGTCTTAAGGTATGGTCAGTTAGTTCTCTAGTAGGATATCTTAAGGTATGATCCGATAGTTCTCTAGTAGGAGATCATAAGGTATGGTCAGTTAGTTCCCTAGTAGGAGATCTTAAGATAAGGTCATTTAGTTGTCTAGTTCGGTATCTTAAGGGATGGTCAGGTGGTTCACTAATAGAACGTCTGTAGTTGTGGTCAGTTGGTGAACTAGTAGGACGTCTGTAGTTATGGTCAGATGGTTCGCTAATAGGACGTCTGTAGTTATGGTCAGTTGGTTCACTAATAGGACGTCTGTAGTTGTGGTCAGTTGTATAACGGGTTCCTCGATATACCTATAATGATGGACCTTATAGTCCCAGACTAGTCAATATACAACTAAAAACGGACATTTGCCACAAAAAGGTCGTTCTGAACCCAAAAAACGACAAACTGGTATAGAAATGAAGAATATATGACAGTTCTCCGAGGAACCTGCTCGTACAATAAAAAGCTTTTCGCGCTCAGTTTTCGTTATTGAAGGTAATCACAATATGTGTGATTACCTTCAATTAGGAAAATTACCTTCAATTAGGAAAACTGGGAACTCCACAGCTATATTAAATACAATAGGAATACCCAAGCTTGCTTGGTATGACCCAAGAAACACATGCGACAAGAAAATGTTTATGTTTATGATTGTACCTTTATTAAATTGCTATATTTCTTACTTATTCGGGCCCGTGTGGTACAGGAGTGGTATATATGATCGATTGACCCAACGGACTAGTCAACAGACGAATAACGGTCCTGCGCCGGCATTCCGACGCCCCTTACGTATATCCTCCTGTCAAGTTCGTCCCACAGATGTTCGATTGGGGACAAATCTGGACTGTACGGCAGCCAAGTGCTATGACAAGATGTGTTGACGAAATTGTCATCATCATTCTGCACGTGTTTTTTGCATTTTAACACTTTCGCTATGTGACACGGTACATTACACGGTTGAGTTACTTTAGACACCGGTTAGGCCAAGCAGTTCGAAATAATTGTTGCATATTTTGTTACCATGCGTTTCTATATTTTTTCGATATATATATAATGTAACCCTAAACATTTCAGGTGTACTTTTCCTGATCTATGTTCCCCGGATTTGCTCACACGTGAACGGGTATAACAGCTTTATTATCACGTACACTCGATAAATAAACAAAAATAATTAAACATTTTGGTACAAAACAACCACAAGTGTTATTATAGATACATGGCTATATCACTCAATCTAAATACATATAAAGTCCTAAGATACCACTCCTTTGGATAACATCCTTCTATAAGCTTATAAAAGATAGTTCAAATCATATCTCCTTAAAGTCTTCTATTTATTTATTAATTAATTATTTTTTGTTTGTTTGACTTCTAATATTGTTATATATTTAGCCTTGTATGGAAATAAGACTGATCTCGACAATCTAAATAAGTAAAGGAAAGGGATGTTCTAATATCCAAATGTTGAAATGCCGTTCAAATAAATGGCAAGCATTGAATTATCTCTTTTTATTTATTAATTCTTTTAGTTATTTCAATCTCCGCGTAAACTTTTCTAGGTTATACTTTGTTCTAGTGTCACCCATTTTGTGTTTGAATTTCGGATTTTTTTTCCTTTACCAC